AACGTCCTGGATAACTAAATTTGAGGCTAATGCCAGATTTTGCAAATCATCAATTGTAACTTAAGTGAAGATATCATTATCAAACTAAAATATTATTGTCTTATTTGTTTATCGACAGATGCTGAGGTCAGCAACCAACGATTGTAATGGTATGGAAAGAGGTAGGATGTTGCTTATATAATTACGTTTTTCAAATCTTAATCTCAAGCATATACCTGTTAAAGCAAGGCTCAGAAACGAGAAAAAGTTGGAAAGTATCGTTTATATAATACCAAACAGGCAGAAATACAGAAATATTAGTCTCAGATACAATTATTAATCTCATGATCAGATACAAGCCATTCTTGTCCCCAGTACTTCATTCATTGCAATGATAATGTATAATCAGGAGCCACAATTGGGTTAGGAGAACGCAAGCTTGGGGTCCACGCAGTTCCATCGAAATAGCCAAAGGTGCTATTTTTAGAACAAAATGCGCCACCCTCGACGCCACAGACTCGCGCGGGAACCCGCTGCTGATGATCCAAAAACCATGACGATAACTTTCCAAAGATAAATGTTGCAAGAAGTTTTAGCAATTTTTCTTGTTTCAGACGGCAAAACCAATCAGCCGATACTGTCGACTCAAGCTAACCTGGATTCTTACTGCGCCATGGAGGCCCCGAATTTGGGCGGGTGTAAACACAAAAAAGCACATAATGGAAGCTCGGAAATTTATGTTTTTAGTGTTTTTTTTTTCTTTTAGCTTTCGACAGTCCAGATTTCTTATATGTAACTTAGAATTAGATAACAAGGGCAATTAAATTAAACAAGGCAAACACTCCCGAAGGGGTAGCTCCAGTTTTTGATCTACACATTCATCCAAATTGAAACTGCGATATCTCAGCTAAACTATGAGAGATTGCAAAAATTTTTCAGCTTTCAACTTCCTTTTATGAGATCTTTCAGAAAAAAACAAACAATTTGGGAGATTCCAAATTTAAAATTTACGTAAGAATGACGTCAGCAAACATGACGTCATGACTGAATATTTTAAAACATGCTAGCAACTAATTTGATTCGCCTTACATTTTGCATTTTCAGGTCGACTTTCGTGAGAAAAGCTAAAAAGCCGAAAAGTTATTGTAAAATAACAAAACTACCCACCTATTGATGCAACATTTAAAAGAATTAAAAAAAAAAGATATTTTGGTTTGAAGAAATTGAGCAGCAAGTGATAGTAATAGATATAAAGGCATTAATTTAAAGATGTATCTTTCATTATGTGGCACTGTCAGTACAAGGTTGTCATACAGATTCCGGAAACAAAATCAGCGAGATTTAAATAGCGAAGAAATAGTAACTATATATAGTGAAAAAGGTCCTAGGTTATATTCTTTTCTGTAAATAGAAGAAATTATTAAATAACCGACAATCTTAACTAACAGCTCGAAGTCTGAATTGCGTAGGAGTTTAAGGAACAGACGGTGAGATGATATTTCTATTCAAAACAATATTTTAGCTTCGTCTTAATTGGGATTAAAAAGCTTCTTTCTTGAATCGTCTTAGCACGAGCGCATATTTAACTTTACCGATAAATTGTTATTTTTATTTCATAGCCTTACTCTCCCGGTTTTTTTTTTACTGAATAGCCTAACTGTGTTTTTTTCACTCGCGCCCACCTCAAAATTCTGATATCATAATTATGTTATTAATCCTAGACAAATAAATAGAGGATATTACATGGCCGCGCGGAGATACGAAATTTCTCTTCGACTGTTGAAAAATATGAATTTTTTTTTCAACACGACAAGAGAAATTTCGTATCTCCAAGCGGCCATGTAATGTTCTATTTATTATATAAACACAAATGAACTATACCAAACCATTTCACTTTAATAGTTTTTTGGTGTGAAAGGAGCGATTTATTATGAAGCCAAAGCAACGTTGATATTTTCACATGTGAAGATATCGACAAGTTTTTGCGCGAAAGCTCGCCTAGTATTTCATTGGTGTTTATATAATAATTCGTTTTTCTGACTCATTATTTCATGGCGTCAATTATGGTTCTATTGCACTAAGGCAAAATCGATTCTCATTTTGAACCCCGATATCAATCCTTTTTTAAGAACCCGGTATATAAAACTTTTATTTTAATTTCTCAATCAGCAGAACTTTGGCTTTGAGAAACTTGAGATCAAATTATCAAGTCGAATTAGGGCCTCAGTATCATTAACACGTACATTTGTTAAACAAGCTGACGTTTCTGATTCACTTGAAACTGGTTTAATTTGCATAGCATAGTGAATAAAATATTTTCCTATTTAAACACGCTATTTACAGACAATCTTGTGTTTATCAGGTGATCAACCAGTTCCTTTGCAAAACCGTTTTAATGGCCATGGAATACTTCAAACTCGCTTTCTATTCAATTCTTTGTATTTCTGCTTTGTTTTGGCAAGTGCATCTCGCCTGTGATGGCGACGAATTCCAAAAATTTCAAGAAAGAGTACAGATGCGAACTTTCAGTGGAAGTAGGATGCATTTAGCCCCAAACGCTTTTGACCACGAACAAATTTTCAGTGTACTGCAGTGTTTGGATATTTGTCTTAGAACTACACATTGCTTCTCTGTTGATATCAATTTGGATCATCCTAGGAAAATATGCAGGATAAATCCTCTTTTCGAAACACGAAAGCATTTTCTTGTGAAGGATGAAAATTGGAAGCACGTAAATATAAGTGCAAAACATTTAAGAAAGGTATGCCATTTACGTTAATTGTCATTTCAGTGCAGTGCATTTCACTTCGTTTTCAAAAAAATGGAATTTTTCAAATTCTGTTTCGAAAGACATTTCTACCTGGTTATAGCTGAAAAAAAAACACTGGGATATATAAACCATCAAAACAATAACGGAAAATGAAAATACTGATGTTTCATAAATACTACATCGCCTATTTACTTTGTTTAAAAGCATATCTATTAATTTGCTATATTTTACGGACGAAATCAGGTGTTAAAAGGTTAACAAGAAGCATTAAGAAACGGCTTTAATCGGCTTTAAAAAAAATTCAATTCTGGACACTCATTCAATCTTTATTTTTATTATCATTATTACTTTTTTTTTTGTTAAGAACTAAAATTATTCGATTTATTTACGATATTGTCAGACTTTGGCACCCATAGAACGTAAACTTTTCCTGATGATATTCTCTCTTGAGTTATTAGATGAAGATAACAAAGCTGTCAATACGACATAAAAACAACATACAACATTTTTTACCAGTTTACTGTATCGAGAAAATTATTGGTAATATTTGTTTATTTGCTTGTTCATTGGTATATTCATATTCAGCCCATAATTCCTTTTTTCCTTTTCTTTCTTCTTTTTCTTCTTCTTCTTGTTATTATTAATTTTACTATTTTACCCCCATTAAAATGAAACTTAAAAAAACTTAGTTCACGTAACTTGAAGACGTTATTAAACGTAGAAATGTAATTCAAAACTTTTGATTCAATGCCTGCGGTAATGATCTCTGTTTCTCGTTACATTGGCCACTTCCAATTTAGTACTAAATTTCAGTATTTTCCATGAGCTGATTTTTGCGAAATTCAAGTTCAAATATTTGTTTAATAGGGGTTATTTTCCTGAATTAAACGATAATAATCAGCTATCACAAGGGACAATTGAACTTAACGGCTATAGAAAACGTCCTGGATAACTAAATTTGAGGCTAATGCCAGATTTTGCAAATCATCAATAGTAACTAAAGTGAAGATATCATTATCAAACTAAAATATTATTGTCTTATTTGTTTATCGACAGATGCTGAGGTCAGCAACCAACGATTGTAATGGTATGGAAAGAGGAAGGATGTTGTTTATATAATTACGTTTTTCAAATCTTAATCTCAAGCATATATCCGTTAAAGCAAGGCTCAGAAACGAGAAAAAGTTGGAAAGTATCGTTTATATAATACCAAACAGGCAGAAATACAGAATTATTAGTCTCAGATACAATTGTTAATCTTATGATCAGATACAAGCCATTCTTGTCCCCAGTACTTCATTCATTGCAATGATAATATAATATATAGATTTAGCCAAGCCTAAAAGCGGAGCTCCCGATTTCATTACAATAATAATAACGATAATAATGATGATGATGAAGATCGTTTTATTCACACTGGTACACAATACGATATAACCTCGTTGCAAATACTGATACCCCCCAGTCGGTATCGGGATGTAATCTAGCCTACGTGTAGCCGCAACCCACTCCCGACAAAGGAAGAAGAGGAGTCAAAGAAAACTACGAAAAAAGTAACACGTAGTTAGATAAGGTTTAAAGAGCAGGAAAGAAAAAGGTCTTAAAAGTTGAAACTAAAACTAAAACTCTATAACTTTAAAACAGCACAAGAAAAGATTAACTTATCCAAGGTGAATTCACACAACAAAGTTATATATGGTATAATAAATACATTAATTTCATATACTGGCAATGCAGAATGAAGAAATAAATTCAGGGAAGATCACCACAGTTATCAATGCAACTTTGGCACTGTACCTAACGTACCTAACCATTCATATAGTCATTCTCCAATTTCCACAGCAGCTGGTCAATTAGCCTGGCAATTCCTCAGAGATTGTGGTGGGAAACAGTTAGATGTCATGTGACCTCGAAGTAACTAATGAGAATGGTGCTGGGAAATATTTAGATTCTTGGAAAACAAAATTAACTGTTTCCCATGGGCCAAGTCTTTAAGTGATTTGTGATGTTAATATTTTAAAAAATTTATAGCTGCATGGAAATTCATTAAACTTCCCTGGAAGGTCAGTTGTTGGTCATTCACGGGTAATAGTGCACTGTTACCCTCTGATGTGAATGATTTTTGCGATGTTGCCTGCTTAGAGAATATTGGCACCAAAAAGTTTCATTGTTAGATGTCAGGTGACATTGAAATAACCAATGAGTGTGCACATGGTTGGAAAGAAATTTCCAGCTATAATAACAATGTTTCTTAATATATCATTGTTGTTGGAGAGAAAAAGGAATGGACTGGATTCAAGTAAATAAAATCTTTTCTTCTGTCATCCTCCGTTTCCACTTCACCAGGCTTTGGAAACTCATAGTCCACACCAACTGCCCTTGCTCTAGCAATTAGGCGGTCATCTTCTAAGTGGCTACTATTATTTACTTCTGGAAGAGGTTGCTGTGTTTCCTGCACATTGCTTGCTCCCTCAATTGGGCCATTTTCTACTGCAGGAGTGTGTTGTTCCAACTCTTCTCCTAGTAAATGAATTATTTGTATTAACCAACTACACAATTCATATAAGCTATGGGGCTAGTGGATTCTATTTTTTATCATGCCTGAGGGATAATAGAGTTGTGATTCTGAGGCTAACAGATGCAAGCTACAGCCTTCCCGAAGGACAAGCACACAACTGACCTCCTTTTCTTCACACCCTAGTACTGCATGCTTGTATAACTGTACAAGAATTACTATTATAAAGCTGTATCTGTGGAAGTGTTCTCAAAACCTGATTTCAAATAGAAAATACACAATATTTCTACTTTTGAAACTTCGGATAATACAACAACCTTGACAATCATTTTCTAAGTGCTGATATTTCATAAACCAGTCATCAAATATAATGGGAGTGACCCAACCAATGAACTCATTATTATAATCCAAAAAAATAATTATCTCTATGAGAATTCAATGTATTTTAACTTTGTCCTAGAGTCAAAGTAATGCAACCTTAAGGTGAGTTTTCCCATAATAATAATGCACGATCAAATACAAACAGAACAAAAATCCTACAAACCAGTCATGGAGAATTAAGTACATGCAGACATGATGACTTGTCATGTTTACCACAACAACAACACATGAATTACATGACAAAAGGTCTAATCAATGAATTATACAGTGTTTTTGTTACAAATAAATATGATGAATTCTGGGACTCATCTTGTGAGAACTCATGAGTCCCAGTCCAGAACCAATGAGTCCCAGTTAAAAAAAATGAGTCCAAAATGGAAAATGTTTGGACCTTTATGTACCAGCCACAGACAGTTAATCTGAAGACACACTCCAAAACTCTGTATTAGAGTATACTGAAATTAAAATATAGTTCTTCTATTTTAAAGCAGAAGTCAACAAAGGCTAAAACAAATATGCATCACTAAACAACAACCATAACTGCCACAGAAATTACACGTACGGGATATTTCTACAAATACACACGTTCAGATCGATATATCCATGAATTATTTTATGTCTTTGGCGATTTTTATGTGTAAGGAACATAGATAGAATGCAGAGGTAACAAAATCACTGATTATAGAGTGTTTTCACTCACGTGGCTAGCATCTATGCAAATTTACTGAAACAAAAGAAAGCGTTTGCATAAGAAAAGATCTCAATTCCAAGAGGATTGATTTGGGACACCAACATGGCCGCCGTTTCATTGTTTTGGGACACCAATATGGCCGCCGTGACGTCATGTGAAAACACTCTATATAGCTGCTCTTTTGAGTCCATGTAAAAATATATATATGAAAGTTTTAACATTCTTATTTGTTACACACACACGCCCACCCACACCTTTATTAATTTCAAAATCTTGGTTACAAAAATGAAAACAAAAACAACCCACAATGAATAAATAAATAAAAATAATCAGGTAAATTCATAAAATAAAATATTGAGAAAAAAAAAAGTGTTACAATAAAAAGGAAAGATTACTTAGGTAAGACAACAGAGCATAATTAATTACACCAAAAAGGGGGAAGTTTTAAAAGTATACATGCTTCCCACCAGCAAACTGTGGCATTAATTAGTTCTGATAAATTTCTATTGTTTATTGGCCCAATCACAGTTTTTCATTCTCTGATAAATTTGCATTATATTTCTTTCTTTTTTTTGCATTATGTTTCCTTGTTTTTTGCATTGTGTTTACTAAAAAGTACACTGCTCTACGCCAATCAAATTCACAGAGAAATTTTTTCATGTATATTATTAACTTTCATAATAAAATACCATCTACCATAAACAACTACCGGTATATCAGTACCTGCTGAATGACTTTGCTCTTGTTCACCTGGCAGAGAGCTTTCCATGCTACATTCAAGTTGGAGGACTTCACTTTCATGTTCTTCTATGGCTAAGAAGATAAGATATAATCTTAATAAGTTGGGCAAGCAGATTGTGACACCTGAGGCTGATTGGTTCTTATATATTTCTATTGTTCAGTGTTATATGTATTGGTCAAATCGAAGCTTCAACATGCCCCCCCCCGGGCATACCCCGGGCATTTGACACCTTTGCCGTCCCGGGGAGGAGGGAATTTGATTATCAGAGTCTTCCTGGGGGTGGGGAATTTGAACTTTTTAATACTGGATTCAGGCTTTGAATGTATGAATGTATGTTACTGTTGTGTTTACAATGAAATACAATACCTATGCCAGCGATTCAATACTACACCATAAAATACAATAAAATAAAATAAAAAGCTCAGGTCAACTACTTTGACCTACTGCAAGTATGTTAATTTATACGGTGAGCGATGATGCATGTCAGTGAAATGGTCATGATGTAGTAATCTCAATAGGTGGGATCTTTTTTTATAGAACCCTTTGGATGTTGCATGATGAAGAAAAGCTGAGAATTCAGTGACCTTGTAGCAGCGATTTCTGCCGCTTTGCACGAGTTTTTTGTTCGTAGTAAATACGCTAACAGTGTTTTTGTTATATTTATAAAGATTTTGTTCGACAACTGAAGGCGTTTCCGCCGTCCTTCTGTCATTTTTTGTGCCTGTGAAATGTCCCCAGGATGGGGGCATTTAATCACCTGAATGGACCCTAGTGTGGGGGCATTTGAATGGCATTTTGGGCCCGGGGGGAGGCATGTTGAATTTGAACAATAATTTTCAAAAGCAAAGTCAAATGCCCTGGGGGGGTTTGCATTAAGCCCAGGGGGGTTTTGCATGTTGAAAGCTTTTCGATTTGAACCAAGATACATTATCCATAGAAAATGTTTTTTACTTTTCTAAAATAGCCAGCTCCCAAACTATGAGATTACCAGAAAATAAACTGGTGCCTGACACTATCTTAGTTATTTTACTGAAAAATATTACCAAATTATCACATGTCTATCACTGTCAACGTATCTCCTGGACTGGATGAATGAAAAATCTTATAAAGATGAACACTTTTTCATCAGATTCTAGGATTTTACACAGGGGACAGCTAAAAAAAACCTGGCAGATAATGTGAAGAAAAATAATTCTTAACAGCCATCAAAATTACTGTGAATTTGGACTTTTGGAGCAGTTACAAAAGTAAGAACAACGGAGAAAAACTATTACCTTGGTCGCTTGTTATGACGTTGTTTGAAGCCACAAGCTGGTTTTGCTGAACAAGAAAAGAAGCTTTACTGACGCCTCGATTGCTGTAGTGAATGGCTGCATAGCGTGTATTCTAGTTGCTTGTGATTTATATTCTTCATGTCAGATAAACAAGCCGCAGCTATCTATCGGCAAGTGCCTCAGCGAGTGGCTTCGCAACCATGAATAAACAAAACCTGTCTTCTTTTGTAGCTGTTCAAGGCACTTTAGTTCCATGTATTTTCATGTGTTTTTCGATAAACTTTCAAACAAGCTCTCGTGGCTTTTTTGTTTGTTTGTTATTTTCCCGATGAAATTGCATGTTCTAGTATTCTAATGAATTGAATTATTAGTATTCTAATTGAATTGAATTGAATTGAATTATTAGTATTCTAATGAATTGAATTAACACGATTTGCTTTGGGTGCCGTTTTATCCTTCGCGGAAAAAAATGGAACTTAGGAAAAATTGAAGATAAAAGTTACAGACAGTTTTTTTTTATGTTTTGACTCATAAGAGTAGCTGGCACTTTGGAAAAGAGTTCCCAGTGAAACTGCCAGTTGCCCGCGCTTCTGGAGAACACTGATTGTTTATTAGCCAATCACTTATTTTTGCATTATGTTTCCTTGTTTTTGTACTGTGTTTACTAAAAACTGCACTGCTCTAAGCCAATCTGATTCAAGAAATTTTTTCACGTATATTAGTAGGCTTTATAGGAAAATTCATTACCTGACGAGGGAATTCCACATTAAATTGCACACGAAAACCGATATCGGTTTTCAAGTGCAATTTAACGTGGAATTCACGAGTCAGGTAATGGATTTTCCTTGAATCGCATAATCAAATAAAAATCAGAAAAAAAAAAGAAAACACCAATAATATTGTTTGTTTTTATCCTGAGCACGCGCCCCAGAAAGCCATTTCAAAGTCAAATGTCAAACCTATCATTGCATTAGCGAATAGGAAGCAAGGTCAGTCATACACGTTTGAACCTTTGACAACTTTTTTTGTACCTTGTGCTTGTTTTTACATTTGTTTTCAAACTTTTTTACACATGAACAAGCTTCACACTAATTGTAAGGATAAATAGAGGTATTTCACTGAATTTACAAGCCGGTTATCTATAATCCTTTTTCAAATTGGTCATTTGCTCGCGAAGGAAAATAATTTACACCTTTTACCTCTTCGGTAGCAAAACTGAAAGAAATGAAGTGTCCAAGGCAAAGCACTGAAAGTTTAACGTTGCGATTGATATAAGGTAAGTACCTTGAAATGTTTTAAAAATGCTGTTCAAGTTCAGCTCTGTTTTGTACTTTTCTAAGTACCACGACTCAGGATGAATGCAAGTGGCGTACTCTTTTTCGTGTTTTCAGGGACAATGTGATCTTTGAAGGTATTTATTTTTTTCTTCTGTATATGTGACAATTGACCCTGGCACTTCCTCCATTGTCGCTTCTCCGCTTTGTTTGTTTGAATTTGGCTTGTTATTTTCTGGGCTGTGTTGACAGGATTTTCTTGTTTTCTCATTGTCGCTAGCGAAAGGGGTTTTTTTATACCTCTCCAAGAATTTGTAGTTTAGTTCAAAACAAGGAAGAACCTCCGGATCACTTTAAAAAATGCTTTTGTTTGTTTTTAACTATTTATTTATTTAGTCACTCACAAAACCTTATGCAACATAAACAAAAGGTGTTAATTAAATTATAAAATTAATGTGACAAGGAAGTCTAACGAAGCTTGAAGCTTATATTAATAAGCTTCCTTCAACTACCTAGAGAACTAAATTCATGGCTGAGTGCAGAGTGAGCAAGATCAGAAAATTAAGCGACAGATCGGCTATCAGTGAGATAATTCTTTAAATTTTTTGTAACAACAAATATAGAAAGAGAGCTAATTAGTGAAACAGGCAACGAATTCCAGATTTTAGGTCCTCGGTAAAGGATACTGAATTGCTTTATATTTGATCAACAAAAATGAGGTCTATACTGAGAGGCCAGTCGAATTTTGGTATTGATGGACTTCAGATTACTACTTAAGAACAAGTCACGAAAGCTACTAGGCAAAAGATTATGGTGATAACAATACATAAAAGTAGTGACAGAAAATAAGTTAAATACTAAATATGTCAAGGACTTTAAGCCGACTAAACAAAGGGGCGGTATTTGCTAGATAGTGAGCTTTTGTTATGAGCCGCACTAGACGCTTTTGCAAAAGGTAAATACAGTTTAGGCTGGAACAGTAGGTGGAGGACCAGGCAACATTACAGTATGTTAAAAAAGGATATACAAAAGGTGACAATGATTTTGAAAACATTTTAAAATGACATTGTAGAAAACCTTTTTTGCAGTTGTTGTGTTACAATTTGACGATAGTTGTTACGTAGATGCGAAAAAACATCCCTTAGCCTCGTTTTCAACTCGCAATTCCACACTGAATACCTCTCTTCGTTAACCAATCAGAATGCGTGATTTTACTCAATTATGCAATTCTATAATAAATACCATCTACCATGAACTATATCAGTACCTGCTGAGTGACTTTGCTCTTGTTCACCAGTGCAGAGAGCATTCCATGCTACATTCAACCTGGAGGACCTGACTTTCATGTTCTTCCATGGCTAAGAGGATAAGATAAAATCTTTAGTTTGGCAAGAATTTTCCCTCACCCCTACATACACCTATTGTTCAAAGAAAACATGTCAGAACAATACTGAGCCAAAAGTTGTGATTTCTGGTTTAACTCTTATGGGGAATTGTTTTTAAGAATAAACGAGCTGAGCTTGACAATATTCCTGGAAATATTATTTACTACACTGTACCCTCCAATGAATGAACAACTTGATAACCACACTCAAAACTGGTTTATAATATTTCACCATCTCTCAACACAAGGAGTTTTTGAGCATTTATGATCACATAATTTTTGTCTTAATTTGGCTATTACTGCAAAGTACAATGTCTTCAATACAGTAAAAACCTAGCTGTGACTAAGAACCTGGTTTTTAGGAACCTGTTTGGCTAAACTTGCCAGTTATTAGGCCCCAGGCTCTATACAAGAACCTGTTTAGCCCAATAGTTGACACACATCTTTATTTTCTCAAATCTATAAAAAAATTCTATACACCCGGAAAATATTCAGGTGAACCTCTTTGGGAGACATAAGCTGCAATGTTTTTTTTCCTGCAGAAAATAAGAACCTTTTCATTTTAGAAAAATAGACAAATTTTTTACCAATAACTATTTTTGTAAGAACGTACCTGTTAATGCAATGGGAAAATCCAGGTTCTTACCTACGAGTTTTTACTGTCTTTTGACCGGTCCGAGCTAAAATTTGTTTGGCAGGTAATAATTTATTTTGACCGGTTAGTAACTAGACATGACCGAGCTTAAATTTGTTTGGCCTGTCAACATTCAAAAATAATTTCTAACCCTGGCTGCCCTCCTTATTTACATAGATCTCCATATATATTCTTAAACACTCGAAGGTAGGTATCTACAAAATGGAAAAGCCTAGATTTATAGTAAAATAATAAAAGTTATTTCAATTACAAGAGGGAGAATAGATCCTTCAAATTCTGTTTACCCTAAATAAAACAAATAGAGGTAAGCTCGAACACTCTGCACCAAAACGCTCTTTCAACAGACATTGAAAATCTTCAAATTCAAGGTGCTCTCTGTACTGTTCTCTTTTCAGAAAACATAACAACGCTTTCACAGACCGTATAATTTACAATCCTCTAACACTGAATCATTTTAACTTGTCACAGAGGCCAGAGTCGCCTAA